ACGTTTTTAACCAACCAGCGCGGCAATCGTTTGCTTCGAAGCCAGGGGTTAGGGGTACTTGCCAAGGGAATCTTGGCCTCTCTCTGGATAACTGAGTGCAGCCGAAGTTCAAAAAAGAACCCGCGGCAGCCACGTCTTCTCATGGAGGCAGCCGAGGCCAAAGGAATTGAAAACACTAACAACCCTTTGAAGACTGTTTGGTTTTGCAGTTGTCATGTCGTGCAAAACCCAAACCTGAAAAACATGTCATAGTGAGCTTGAGCAATGCACCACTCCCTGAAACCGTGCAACTTGAGTGAACCTCTCCTCAAACAGTGCATTTTGGATGTATGTATGCCATGTATGCTCGTATGTTTTCTTTGCTTTCAAAAAGGCAGCAGGTCCGAAATTAAGGAAACCCTGCCACACTTGGCCAAAACAATCAATCGAAGTAGCCTAGCTTTCAGGTTTCAGGCACGCTGCAGAATCTCAGGCAAGCGCAGCAAGGGGTGTAGCAAAGAAACAGTCGGTCCCCAATGTTTCTGCTCTGTGTGCAGTGAGTGTAAGTTCACCCGGTCTAAGATATGCTACATGAAAAGGTTTACCGGCCATAGACTCTATCGGGCTTGGAAAAAGGACTACCCTAAGCCTACTATAACTCAGTTTTCTCTTTATGACTTTCTAGATTGGTGGCACACATGTCGTTTGCAGCCGTCGCTATGTTACGCTGTCGTGCGCTGTGGCACTTATATACAGCTACACGTCAAAAAGGACCCCTCAAAAAAACTCAACCGACGCGCGCATGTCCACAACACACGCAGAAAAGGTTTGCTTCGTTTGTGGCCCCCGGTGTTTGCTGAACTAGGTACAGGTAGACCAGGCTCAAAGCTGCAAGAGCAGCTTTGATTCTGTAACTTTACAGGTTGTATACCGTGTATATATAGTTTTTTGAAAGTATCTGTATATATAAAGCTTAGCCCTAATCGCTTTTTGGCCTTGACGGTTTCGTGTGGTGGGAAACAGCTGTCGTTTGTTGGCCACGGTGTCGTCGCCATATGACAATGTTGTGCCATGGCATGCACTCTCTCACGCACTCTGCATACACACTACGCCCTTTTTCTTGGCCCCAAATCGCTTTTTGGCCTTGACGTTTTCGTGTGTGGGAAACAGCTGTCGTTTGTTGGCCACGGTGTCGTCGCCATATGACCATGTTATTGCCATGGCATGCGCCCTCTCGAGCGCTCTCTGTATATAGACTGTGCCTTTTCTTGGTCCCAAATCGCTTTTTGGCCTTGACGGTTTCGCGTGGTGGCAAACAATTGTCGTTTGTTGGCCACGGTGTCGTCGCCATATGACTGTGCCGTGGCATGCGCTCTGTCATAAGGAAGGAGGCTGTTCTACAAACGACACCGTCTGTTGTCTTTTGTTGCCAACTGTGTCCTTTGGGCAACGTTGGATCCTTTGGGCAGCGACACACACACACACACACTGTAAGGTACAGTTCTCCATGTTTCACGAACTGCGTTGGTTGCATAGCGTCCTGCTCCATGGCAAACTCTTTGCGTCCATGAGGGAATTGCTGAAACCCCTACGACCCCGCTGTCCTCTGCCCTGGAAGGCGTTTTGTTGGCTTGTAGACCTTGTCGTCCACCTTGATGAACGCCTGTTCTGAACTTGGCCGCGGGGCCGAGCATCAGGTGTATCATCAGTATGGGTATGATCCTGAACAAAGTAGGACCAAAGCCTGTTCCATGTCCCCTTTGAACTCGTCTACCAAACGCGCTCTCCGGAACCAACCTCCAGTCTATGTTTCCAAGTGTCGACCAATATAGCCCGCTGTCTCCGCAACTTCTGTGGCTTCTCTCATTGCTGGTAAATCCAGCATCCTCTTGATCTCCTTTGCTCTTGCTTCATCATCCAGAACCTTCAGCTCCAATTCTGGCACTTCTGGGCGATCGTCATCCTCTTCTCCTCCTAACCTGGTTGCTCTTCTTCAAACCTTCTCTGGGGCATATTCCAACCCCACTTCTTCGCCCCCATGCGCCAAAATGGACTCCACTCCTGCATCGTGTGGTGGGTATAACCTTGACTTCTTGGTCGGTGAGCCTTCGGCAATGTGCTCAGCAGATCTCCTTCCTGAACTTTCCATGGCTGCAGCAACCTTCTCTCCTTCATCCTCTGTCCTCTGCTTCTTCTCTCCTCCTTCCACCTCTGCTTCTTCTGTGTCTCTCTTCTCTGCAACCTTCCTCGGTGAATCACTTGTGTCCAAGCGTTTGGTGTGTCATCATCCCAACCAAACCATTTGACTCACGCTGTCCTGCGCCTGTCAGTCTGATCTCAGCTGACCTCAAGATTTGGTCGCCCTCTCTGAATCGGCCTGAAAAATGCAAGGGTCCTGTGCAAGAATCTGACCATCTCCTCCGTGATTGGCTTGCTCTGCGCTGGCGCGACATGGATTGCTTCACCATGACGAGACATGTGCTACGTCCATCCTCCTCTTTGTGCCCATGCAGGTGCAGAA